GCGCTAAGGGAACAGCAGAGCCCAATGTCATTGGAACAATGTGTGGAAAGGGAAGGGCAGCAGGGGGTACACATTGCTAGTAACATGGGCCTCAGAGCTCAGTAAGGACCCTGGATTTAATGTAAGTGTGAAAGAAAGCAGTTGAAAGGTTTTAACACAAGAATAACAAAATCAGATTTGATTTTAAATGATTTACTCTGCATTGAGGCCTAATGAATTATCTGACTCCAAAGCTTCCTTCACTGAGTCACCCAGACTGTAACAGAGGAACATTAAAGCCCCTGGGAAACAGGACACCACCCAGGCCAGCAGACTAAGCATCTAGGCTGCGTGGCAGAGGGAGCATCAGAGCCCAGTAACAGAGACACCGGGAGAAAGCATTTCCTGCAGGGGCGCACGCCACTCGTGTTTGCTGGATTTCAAACACAAAGTGCTAAAAAGAAATGCTTAAGAAAGATTTGACAGTGGTTTTGAAATGTTGAAGAGAATAAACAGAGGAATCATGAGGAAAGTGAGGAATTATGACTCCAGAAGGAGGTGGCTGGGACACCAAGAATGTCAGACTCCAGAAGAGTGTACACCAGGAGGAGGCTGGCGGCAGAGGGGGCGGTGTCAGCACAGAGACTGGTTCTTCCTGGTTCCTCGGGACATTATGTCTAAATATCAAATGGAGATGTCCAAGAATCAAGTCGAGGTAGGAGCTACAGGAAGAGAAGTTAAAGCATGAATACTCCATGCACCAAAAGTCAAAAGAGAAATGAAATTGTTGCCATATGGCCTTCTATGCAGATGCGAGTCTGGAATTTTTCAGGGAAGAACAGAAAACCAGAGGGACAGAACCTGGACCTTAGATGCCCCATCACTGGTGGGCTAAGGAATGTTCCACCCTCACCCCCAAAGTGGAATGTCCCCTGGGGCAAGAGAAGCTTGAACAGCAGATTGTCAAACATAGCCCTTACCTAGAAGCAATACAACAATAAGGGGCAGAGACAAAAAAGAATGGGTGTTTTGGGGGTGGAAGGATGGCTACGAAGAAAAATCACTTAGTGATTCTAAACTGCCCAGATTTAAGCACATTTATGGAGTTCAGAGGATCTTCTGAGAGGAGAGCAGCATTTTGGCCTTGGCAAGGAAATGGTTATAACGAAAGATATGGAACAGTGTTAAAGAATTCAGAAAGAAACTGAATCTCTGGAAAAAGTGAGGCTTTTTTTGGTTCATTGTAAAGGAACATAAATTAGACTCCAACCCACAATCTCCGCCTACCCCCCAATATCCCAGAGTCCTGCGCAGCCTGGGGAAAGCGTGCCAACACAAACAGTGTGGGCTGGGGCCCTGCGGACCGAGGGTGGGATGAGGCGCGGGTGGAACTGGCAGGCAACCTAATGGAATCACTTTAATGCAATGCCACAAAATGGAGACTAAATAATCACTGAGGACTTTGAACATGCACAGAAAATGGGATGTGTGCTTAGCAAAATCATAGACTCATTTCCAAAAAGAAAAAAGAAAAAAAAAACCACATACCAGACAGGCGAAAATGAAACAAAGCAAAATATACCTGGCTCTCTTATCTGTCTTTAATTAAAGCATAAAATACTCTCCATGTCCTTTTCTCCCAGCTACTCTGGAACAGAATAGCAACTGGCAGCAGCTCAGGTGAAAGACTTCAGCCTCCCAGCTACAAAGAGGGGAGATAGCAGACAATGGAACCGGTGATTCATTACAAAAGAATACACTCCACAGCGGCCTGCTGCCACATGGGCTCACTGCACTATTTAAAGGAACAGCAACCCCTTTCCAACCTCCCTTATTCTTAACACCTTCCCTCCTCTAGGTCCTGATGGAAAACAGATTTTGAAGAAAATGCCAGCAAAGCACTGAGCTGTCCAAGAAAGGGAGGGCTTTGTGTTCCACAGAAACTGGCAGTCTTACACTACAGTAGAGTACAAAAATTCCCTTTCACATCCAGACTATGAAATCTTTCCCTCTCGGCCTGGTACACTTGCTCTTTCAACAACAAATAGTATCACTGATTCTAAGTCTGGCCAAATATTCTTTTTACTAATTGGAGTTGAAACTGCAATTTTATTTTTTCTAATTACACACCTATCACAAGAATTATTTCCCCCCTTTCCTTCCTTTTATTTCACATTGTAGAATAAAATTTCACATGTGAAGAGATGCCATAATTTTGTTCGCATGCTTAGAATCAAGAGTCCTCTGAGGAATATTGCTACAACATACAGATGAACAGAGAGAGCTAACAGAGCAGAGGGAGCCAGAAGGTCACATGAGCATGTCTGTCTGCTACATGAGAATTCTGTGATTGCCATTTGCTTTTTTTTTTTTTAAAGCAAAGCATTAGCTGCTTATTGTAAATGACAGAACAGTTTACTAGCTAAAACAAAATTAAAGCGCATGTGATAATAAAGTACACACATCGCCCATCTACTGATGTGGTTCTGTTACTGGATAATGAAAATGTCCTCACTGAGAAGCCTCCGTCCTTCTACCAAGTGGGTGACAGACATTAAGGGATAAAGAAATGTTAAGATCCAGATGCAAGGAACCTAGGTGACAAAACACAAACACATATTTACAAACCTGACTAGTATATTAAGACACTAAATACCATTTAACTTGGATAACCAAGCCCTAAACCGTGTAGACATTTTACATTCGGCTTATGTGACATTATTATCAAATACTGGGGTTAGATGTCTTGTTCAAAAAACCAAAACCAACCAAGCAAACAAAACAAAAATAAGGCCACAGGACAAATTAAAGACTTGCCCCATCTGGTTATGTCCTTTGATTTATTTCCTCTAGATTACTAACAACTTCACAGAGAAACTGTGTGTATACCAAAATAAATATGCTGAAGTACTGAAAAATCATACATTTGATATTCTATAGTTTCAAGTTGTTTAAATTCAGGATGGGCAAAAACTAGTTACCTTCTTCCCTTCAGCATTCAACACATCCTGAGGAGATCACAAATTAAAAGTATTATATATTCAGTTTCTTAACGTTCCCAAATCTCCCTTTCTGGTTTCTAATTATCTTATCTGCTTCATTCTTCAGAGCACAGTTCCCAGAGGTGTGGGTTATGAAGAGCCGCATCCAGGGCCTTGAGCTTGTGGACCCTCATCCCCTCACCCACTCACCCCCTCACCCACTAGAGCTCATGCTCAAGCAGCTTCTGAGGAGCTACCAGGACACAGTCCCAGAGGCCTCAGAAAACCTCATTATAAAAGATCCCAGTTCAGAAACTCTCTCGCTGATTTAAAAATATGTTTAATGGAAAAGTAAGTAGTTGAAAAGCCATCAGTGATGGCTGAGAAAGAAGAGAGCTGTTACCCTCTAGTATTGCCAGTTAATGAAAATTGAATGAGGCTCCAAGGTTAAGAAGTATCATCTCCCAAGCAACAAAGAGAATCCAGAAATAGGTTTTCTCTTTTATGGAAATTTTTTTAAAGTAAAGCAAAAAAGAGCAGGTTTCAAAAGAGTAGGTTAGACTGTTGATGAAGGGAGCAGAGGTGGAATATAAAATATTTCAAGGGTTTCTCCAATTGCCTAAGGAGGGAATGGTTTCTTGATAATCTCCAAACTCAGACCCGATGAGAAATTACTTGGGAAAGATGTTTCTTTGCAACTCCCCTTTCCTCTAGGTCACGCTGGGAAAATCTCCCCAACATTCTCCCTTCTTCCAAACAGCACTGCGGGCATTATATAACATTTAACGGAACAGGGTTCCAGCTTCTAAAATGATGCCTCCGTCCAGAAAGCTAGCTGCCTCGCCTCTCTCGCCCTCCGGTGGTGACTTGGAGAGGAAGAGGGAGAGAATACAAAAAAGGGGCAACCTCCTTAAAAGGAAAGCACTATCCAGTGATGAAATTTCCCTACAGAGCATTAAAAGCCTGGAGTGAGGCCGATCTGAGTCTGAGACCAACAGACATGAATATTCTGCAATCAAATTATTTCTCTTTGATAAATCACAGCCTCATCACCCCCTCTCAACCTATATATAAAGAAAAAGGGTCAAGAGCACAGAGGAGGGTGCCAACAGAAAAACAGAGCTTTGGGGAGCACAGAGGAGTATTTACCTTCCCATTTGTTAGGAATGACTTGCTAAAATGCAGACTAGATATTGCTTGGCAGAAGGAAAGAGGGGGAGGTGGGGGGGAGGGAAAGGGGAAGAGAGGAGAGAGAGAATATACTCTTCCATTTCCTAAACCCTCTCCTTCAAATGCCTTTTAATGTCTGTGCGACTGTCATTTATACACTCATTAGACATTCAGATTTGTTCTGTCGGGGAGGGCGCTACCTGCCTCAGCTGCACCTGGAGGCACCTAGGTTTCCTCCTGAAAAGGAGGAATAATTCTTTGCAAGCAACAAAGCCATGAAACGAAACATATTTTCCTAGCCTTCATTTTTAATAAGTCATTTAGAGCGAAGGCAGCGAAACTGCAATTTCATAGCCGATCCTGAGAAACCGAAGTGAATCAGGAATAGGATTTCCTAATAACACAAATTCTTCTGCAATTCTTATAAGGAAGTCAAGCCCTCTCCCCTCTTTCGGCAGTCTGTAAGAATCTCTTCCTACCTCTGCAGTCTCTCTCTCCCTCCCTCTTCTCAGAACCAAGACAAAGAGGTAGACAAATCCCCACAGGGTCTTTCCTGAGCTACAGCTGCACAGTACAGGAAACAGAAATCTGCCATGGAGCTGACGCGAGGGGGAGAGAAAGGGATAGGGATACACAGCCCGCGCGCCTACAGGCAGGCAGGCAGGCAGGCAGGCACACACACACACACACACACACACACACAGCATGCACACACCGACTCACAACACTTTTCAGTTGATAACAATAAACCTGGCCTTTTTTTAAGGAGACAATAATAATAAAAACTCTGCTTGCTGTACCCGATCCCCCGTATCTTTATTTCTATTCCCGAACTAGAAAAGAAACACACGGAGGAAACGTAAATCTTACCTGAGTTACCATTTTCTTTTTCTCCATAAACCAAGGTGATGAAGACTTCAAAGCAGGCGTGCTGGGGCACACCTCCACAGCTCCTTTTTCCTCCCCCCTCCCCCCCCAGTCTAGCTCTGTAAGGGTTTGGTAACTGATCTCCCTTTATTCCGGTTTCCTTCCTTTTTCTTTCTAGTGTTTCTTCCTTTCTTTTCTCTTCCTCTCTGGCAGTCTCTCCCCCTCCTTCTTTCTCCAGCTCCCTCCCATATCTCAGGCAGATGGCTGAAGGAAGCCCCACCCCTGAATGCCTAAGGTAATTAATCAGAGTACAGCCCCACCCCTTCCTCCTCCCTCCACCCCCTCCCAGCAGGCTGACAGCTCCCAACTCCAGAAACAGGGCTGTGGAGAAAGGCAGTGTGTGTGGTGTGTGCTTTGCGCACGCGTGTGTGTGTGTGTGTGTGTGTGCGCGCGCGCGTGCGTGTGTATGCGTGCGTGTGTGTGTGTGTGTGTGTAACAGAGAAAGAGGAGAGGGAGGAGGGGAAGGGGGAGAGGCAGGGCAGGCGCCATGTGCAGGCATATTTTAAGGAGTGAATGTCTGGGATGGTGGCATTAATTACATAGCACTGGAAGCACTCATGAAAGCTTATCATAGCTAATACCATTTTAAAATATTCTATCCATGAGTGTATGATAATAAATAAGAAATAAAACAAAAATTACTAAAAACATTTCCACTAAGGCACAGTTCACAGATGCAGCGGATTTAACGAAAGACAGGAAAGTAGCCTGATGATGGCCACTGAACAGAAGGTTTTGAAGAAGGGGACAGACGAGGAGTGTAGCTACACTACAACAGGCCAGGCACTATTTGGGGCATTTTACAAATATCTGTATACTCTTTAAGGGTTATAATCCACACATAATATATAATCCACACATGTAAAGAACTATGTATAAAAGAACGGGCACTTTAAGCATTAGTAAAAAACAGCATGAGATGAAAGGATCTGGGAGATAGAACATGTAACATTCTCTGAATTTGCAACTGAAAAGCCAATCAGAAGATGAAGTGCAGTCAAAAGTTTTTAAAGAGAGTATAAGCAGCAAAGCAGTGGATGAGTGTCAATGGAAGCAAGGATAACCCCATGTGCTTTTGGAAAAAAATCTCAATCGTATTTATGGGATAAGTATGTTTTCAGTTCTAACAGAAGAAATAAACCTGAGAATCACTGTAGACCATCTTCAGAACCCACTTGTCCATTGTAGTGCTATGGACAAAAAAAAAAAAAAAAAAAATGGGTACCAAGGCTGACTCCTGCCACACAGGCTATCCTAGGAAAGCCACAAATATCTTGAAGCCTGTGTGGGATCCCCTCCACACAGAAAGACTACTAGGTCCCAAGTAGAGATTTTTCTTTTTTGAATAAAAAAGGTAAATGAGGGAGCCCCACTTGTAGAAAGTGCAGGACTAGAATAGTTCTTAGCCCTGGCATCTATGCCTCTTTCCGCATTTAGGACCAATATTCTAATCTGCAAATTAATAACAGGATCAGAAAATCCATTACCACAAGAAAGAATAAGTATCAGCTAAAAACAAAACTAAATATTAAAATGACTTTAATAAATTCACTGAGTAACAGGATCATAGCAAGCACTGGACACACAACAAGAAGTTGTAAGGTGTGTCCCTGACTTTAAAAGCTGGAGGTGTAAAACAAGATTAGCTTCTTTGGTGCCTGAAAGAAAGCAATTAACAGCCTGGTTCTGTTCCAGCAAAAAAACCCTGGGGTTCTCTACTAGTGGCCGGAAGTGCCTGGCAGTGTACCCAGGAGAAGCTCACTTGGACATTTACAGAGGGCTGGGCAGGGTGGGGAGGTGGGGGGTGGAAGGGCAAAAACACAACAAAAGTGTCAGCAAGAGAGGAGGCCAGAATCACCTTCTGGCTCCATCCTCGACTTAAGGTACTGAGCCTGGTATATGGTAAATACTGTAAAAATATTTGTTAAATAAACGAATGATGGAAAGTGTTCCTCATTGACTCAGTTTCCTCCTTGTTTCTTCAGCTTCATGTAACCCCCAGAAAACCAGCTTCTTTCCCCTAGTCTACTCAGTTGAAATTGACATCACTGAATTCAGGCACACCTCTGGTGGCCAAGGTCAATGGACGTTCTGTCTTCTTTGACTTCTCAATGGCACCACACTCCTTCTTCAGGAAACTCTCCCTCGCAGAAGCCTGAGACCATAACAGTCTTTCCTGATTTTCCTCTTGCCTCATCCATTGGCTTCCCCATCCTGCTCTTCATCCTCTGCCTACCCTCTAAGTGTGAGCACTGCCAGACGTGCCGCCAAGGCTTTTCATGCAAGGTGTCTACTTCCTCACGCAGGCACCCCACCGAAAATGTTTCTTACCTGCATTTCTGTAGCAAGGATTCATAGTCCTCAGATTCATTAAAGGGTATAAGCTTCAAAAAAGTGAACAAACAGGGCCTCCCTAGCGGCGCAGGCGGTTAAGCACCACACTGTGAAGCTGTCCGCAGCCTCGGCAGCGCGGGTTCGATCTCGGCCGGCTGGTGAGAATCCCACATGGCGTGGCAGACCTCTCCTGTCTCGCCTGCTGCTCCCCTCAGCAGTGTATTTCGTCAGTCTGCCTATTCTGTTCCCCGCTCTGTCTCTGGTGAATCCTCTCACCCTCCCGTGCGTCTGGTCTGTACCCCAGATCTTGTATAAATAAATCTTTTTTTTTTTAAAAAAAGTGAACAAACAATGCTGACCACACTTGCTCGAGGTGATGCGACCCACCCCTTCACTTGAACTATCTCCCTAAACTGACCTTGATGGCCTCCACATTTCCATGTCTGGTCCCAATATCTCTACTGAACTCCAGATCAAAGCATGTAACTACCAAATAATGGTTTCAACTCCATTCAGATACACTACAAATTTCTCTGAAAGCCCAAAACTAAGTTCTCGAAAGCTCACTAATTCATTTAACAACCATTCTCTACGAGGGTACTGGGGGAAAACAGAAACAGACAAAGGAGATAAAAATTCCCCTATACGGGCCTCCCCTGGTGGCGCAGGTGGTTGAGCGCAGCGCTGAGGTTGTCCGCAGCCTCTGCAACATCGATTAGATACTGGCAGGCCGGCAAGGGTCCCACATGGCGTGGCAGACCTCTCCTGTCTCGCCCGCTGCTCTCCTCAGCAGCGTATTTCGTCAGCCTGCCTGTTCTGTTCCCCACTCTCTCTGGTGAATCCTCTCACCCCTGCCCCCAACTCTGGCCTATACCCTGGTTCTTGTATAAATAAATAAATCTTAATTAAAAAAAAAAAAAGTCCTCTATCTGTGAAGCTTGAATTCTAGTGCTCATTCTATCAGGCTTGTTTTCTTGACGAAAGTGGTTAAATTTTGTAACCAGTAAAATAGCTACCATTTCTTGAGAGCTTACCCTGTGGTAAGCTATTCCACAGCTCATTCCATCTCATGTCAATGAGATATTTTAATGTTCTTTTTAGAAATGAGGGAACTGAGATCAGGTGAGGCTAAGTAAGCAAGCGAGCAAGCTGAAGAGCCCAGGCTCAAACCTGAACAGGATGGAAAATCTGGGGTTCCTGTAAGCCTCCTCATTCAACACCACACCCAACCACACCAGAGTCCAGGCCTAACGGCAATGCCCTCTGACTTGCCTCTCCATCCATCACCACACACTCAGTTCTGACCTTCTTGTTTTCTATCTAGTTTCCTATCTGTCCCTCTGCCTCCAGCCTACCACTATTCCCACCCAAGCTGCTCACTACTGTCGGAGTGATCTTTCTAAATGCAATCTCATCATGGCACCACCCCTCGCCACTGGATCCTAACTCTGAAATGGGCACCTCACATATCATCTGTTTCAACATACCTGTCTAGAGTCACTGCTTCTCCTCCCCAGAACCACCTCTCTATTTTCTTTCTTTTTTTTTTAAGATTTATTTATTTATTTATACAAGAAACAAGAACCAGGGCACAGTCAGAGACACAGGAGGGTGAGAGGATTCACCAGAGACAGAGTGGGGAGCAGAACAGGCAGACGGACCAAAGACACTGCTGAGGGGAGTAGCGGGAGAGACAGGAGAGGTCTGCTGTGCCATGTGGGTTTCTCCCTGGCCAGCCAGGAATAGAACCTGTGCTGCAGAGGCTGAGGATAGCTTCAGAGCGCTGCGCTCAACCTGCTGCACCACCAGGGAGGCCCCCACCTCTCTATTTTCTGCCCCTAATGTTGAAGGACTTGAAGTTAATTTCTCAGCAACACTGTTTCTGTCCTTTTCTGTTCTTGCTCCCTTTTATATGGCCTTCTGTCCAGCTAATTCACCCTTCATTGCCCACTTCATGGACCCCTGTTCCAGAAAGTCTGTCCTGGTCCTGTCTACTCCCACACTTGGGTTTGGTACCCCGTATCCCTGTGGCTTTGCACCTAAATCATCATTTGTAATTGCTGGAGTTATGGTTTCTATAATTATGACCAGATTGTGAACATTTTGAGGGTAAGAATTCTGTGTTTCATAGCATATCACCAGTTCCTAACCCAGTGTCAGAATACATGCTAGAAGAATAAATGTTGAAATTGAATAATGCCTTAATTTCTATTTCAAGTCATTTATTATACTTATCCATACCTGGGTACCTAAGAACAAAGATTATTTATGTGGTTAACAAATTATTATAAAAGCATTCTTTTCTCCCAAAAGAATAGTTAGAAATATCGCCACATTTACAAATTTACTTCATTGTCTTGTAAGTCTGAAACTGAAAAAAAGAAGTACAAAAAAAGGGAATGAGAAAATCTTTATTTTCAACTTGACTACAATTGTTAAGATTCTAGACAAAATAATATGATTTAAAAAAAAAAAAAACAACATCTCCCAACTTTAGGAGATCTTGCTCTTCACAATTTTATATGGATGTGACTCAACTTCCCTACCTGCCACCCACATTATCAGTCACGCTATAAAGCAGATCCAAGAGTCCCTGATGGAAGGCGGGTGTGTTCCTTCTTTCCCAGGCTGCCTGACACCCAAGTGAAAAGCAACATTAAAGGGACAGCATTTCCTGTGATAATAAAAACCTGTGAGCACAAAAGCTCTTCACAGCACGCCCCCACACGATGACCCCAGCCAAGTGTAAATAACAATTTACACCTAATAGATATTAAATGCCTTCCCAGAAGCATCTGTAACACAGTGCCATTTTAATAGTCTCTGCCCCAACGTTTCCTTAAATATAAATGAAGCCGCGTTACTGCTGACCCAT